GTTGTTTTATACTGGACGGAGTATGGAAACTTGGTCATTTGGCTCTCATACCGGACGGGGTATGAGGTCGGTTATATAATTAAGACTGTTAAGGGAAAGGGGTTCACGTATAGCAGGGACACCCCTATGGATCCCCATAGGCTAGTGAAACGAGAAACGGTTACGAATTAGTCTATTGCTAATGGATATGGATTTATAATATATACTATGATGGTTAATTATGTATGAAATTATGATCTGTATGATATTATTATTTTTATAATTTTTTTCCATAAATTCCCCAATGGTAAGTAAGAGCATAAATGGTTTTATTTTAAATAAATGTATTAGTTTAAATCTACTGTTCCATTGGTTGTTTTGATTTTCTACCAACCTTTACTTCTGTGGCGGTAATATAGTATGATGTTCTTACTGGGTTATTGTAGGTCATTCTTTATTTAGCTATTTCAGATCAAGAGGATATGGTTCCCGAGTCCGATCCACAAGAAGATTGCGAGTAGATGCTAGATACTTTATAGTTTCATTTGTTTTTTCCATTTCTCGTGTTTCTTTTAGAGAATTCATTCTTTGATATTTGTTCAGTACTTTTAAATTATTGTGTAAGGGATGTACTCTTAACTTTTTATTTCGTTTATGCACTTAAATTATTATATATTTCCTTTTGCATTTCCGGGACCGTTACATTTTAATACTCCAATATCCATAATTTTCTCCATTAAAAAGCAAAACAATGTGTTGCTGGGTTGTGTTTACGAAAGCCATAAATTGTATTTTGTAGAAATTGTTTTGTATCCTTCTTGATCGTTGAGGCTTTGATATCACTTGTTGAAAATATTAGAATTAATTGTACAAATAGTACTAAACGTAAAAAAAAAGAAACGGAGAAGAATGAATATGAATTTTTATAATAGTTGTTTCTTTACTTGATGTTTTTCTTAATGAATTACAAACATCTATTTATACAAGTAAAGGATAAATTACAACTATAAACATTTCTATGATTATAAATAATTTATATTATATACCATTTAAATTTTAGATAATTTAACTATAATAATTATGAACTAATGGTTGAGGAATTTTCTTTATTTTTTAACAATTTGAGACAATGACCATCCATTATTAATAGCAAGTTTCGGGTGATGGATGCAACTGGGGGTGATTATTCCATA